AGCAGAGTAGCCAGAAGTAACTGCTACTGCTCCTGCTCCTGCTCCCGCTCCTGCTGCTGCTCCTGCTCCTGCTCCTGCTCCTGCTCCTGCTCCTGCTCCTGCTCCTGCTCCTGCTCCTGCTGCTGCTCCTGCTGCTGCTGCTGCTGCTGCTGCTGCTGCTGCTGCTGCTGCTGCTGCTGCTGCTGCTGCTGCTGCTGCTGCTGCTGCTGCCGCTACGGACGGGATGCAGACAAGCGCCGCCTGTTGTGTACACTCCAGTGGCGTTTGCGGAGAGAAGGACTGCTCAGCCACCCCAACCAGAAGGTGAATACTGACAGGGCGATGAAAGCCACAACAAATACCATGACCACTACTAACTACTACTAAATATCTTTCTGCCAGCACTAGTAGCATCAGTCATCGCAGCGAGCACGATTGAATTAAGCGGAGCTGCAAGCATACTTGTGGCATGGCTCTGGCAGGGAGTCTACTATACTAAACTGACTTCCCCTGGTACACCAAAACGGCGACTGTCGGAAGGAGATGCATGGCTTTGGAATCGTCAGGTTACGACTGGAACGAACGCCCAGGCTCTACGGTATTCATGCTTGGCTCTGCTGCACGAGAGGCGGGCTTGCCCCTTCAAACCTGTGCAACTCAACCCGTCCGAAGCCCAGGCTGCCTATCCGGATTCCTGGATCCCAGGGTGCACCCGAATTCCGGGGTAGCAATAACAAGAATAATCCTAAGAACATGCATGTGAAAACTGTGGATAATGATGGTAATGATTATAATAACCGTAATATCAGTGGTTATGGCAATAGTCAATGTCATGGCCACCGCCATGATCAACGTGATGCAAGCAGTAACTCTGCGCTAATGACTGTTAACGCTAATCCGAATGCTAATGGTAATGGTAATGACCGTAAGGATATTGATAGTTAGTGATAGTGATAGTGATGGTGCTCGTTGCAATGATGGCAATGATACCCATAATGACAATGATGCTGAACATTGCCAGACCCAACAACGAACAGTATTGCAATACTACTGAGTTTTGGTGGCCGTAGTAGTGATACTAGCAATAGCACTAGCTTTAATATTCGTAGTCGTAATGCGACTAGCAATTGTAATCGTAGCAGAAAAGTAACTGTAGTAGCACTGTCATAGCAATAGCCACTATAAGCCTCAAGAGAGCGATGCACAAGAGTCATGTTCACAATACCAACAACACTGGCCGCAAGAGTAACAACAATCAATCAAGCAAACAAACAAACGGAGTCACTGAGAACCCTCCAGATGCCAAACCTCAAAACCTAAACGGAGCCATGAACCGTAAGCCCCGCTCGCAGCGATCTTTTGCTCGCTGGATCGCTATGCGAGTGCAAGCTCGTCCCTAAGCGATGTTGTTTTCAGTCAACGCTGAGGTTTAGATGGTAGAGTGAGTGTAGAGCTCGGATTTACCGCTTAAGGTGTTGGGTCGTTTGGGTCATGGGATTTAGGTTCAAATTTGGAAGACCGGCTAATCCTAAACAACCCGAAAGCTCAGAATCAGTCGGTAGAAAGATGTGCTTTCGGAATTTCACAGTTTGCCGGCAAAGTCTACACCACAAGCTCGATTTGCTCCTGCGCTGGGGGATGTGTGATTTGGGGCTTCTGGTTTAGGGTTTATGACTTATATAGGGTTTAGTGTTGCTGTTCAGGGCTTAGGGTTTAAGGTTTTGGGCCTTAGGGCTTTGGGATTGTGGGTGCTGCAAAGCGGCTGGAAACTTTAGGATTCAGGAGGTCAAGGAGACTTACCTAGTTCCCAAGACATCAAACATGTCAAGGGGCTCTGCTTGCAAGGCTACATCTATCAGACGTCTCTATAACCTAGCACAAGTTGTAATATCTAAACTGGGAATAAGGGCGTTTCGCTCGAAGCAACGCACAAACCCGAAGCTTCAAAAAGCCCTTACCCCATCCGTAATTCCAGAAATGGCACCAAGGGCCCTGAACTCGTAGCCTTAGCTCTTAATCCCTCTGAAACCCACTCGAACTTTCCCAAAATCCTTTTCAGCCGTTGCTCAACCCCAAGCGTGAAACCCTAATCCTAGCTTTGTTCATGCCTAAACTTGAATCCCTAACACCCTGAACATCCCTAAGCCCCACACCCGGGTGCCACACCCGACACTGCCGAGAGCACTGCTGACCATTTGCATCGGGCGCTCAAAACTCCGCTGGAGGCCCCCGGCCATTTTCCCGGCAGAACGGTGAAGGTTTGGGGTTGAGGATTCAAGGTTTGGGGTTTAGGAAGGTCAGCACGTTGTTATGAGGACCCCCAACCCCGACCATTGCGGACCCTTTGGTATTTCGGGTCTGCGGCCCCAGACTGGCCAAAAGCCTCCCAAGCCTTGTCAAGGCTTCAGAGCCTTCCTAGGGGTGACTGCCCAATTTGGCAGGGTCCCATTTTGGGGGACTTTTCGGGCGCCTTCTCCCCATTCAAAAAACGATATTTCGGTACCCTCTTGTCTAACCTCCGGCCCAAACCTGCCAGGGTAGATTTTAAACTTCGAGCGATCCTCACAGGGCTCGACGGGCGGGTTGTTTGTTGGAAACCCTTGCTTCTCGTTGAGCGGCCGGCACAGGCCGCGAGGACCCACAACCCGACACCGATCCATCTCAGCTGTTGTTTGCTGTTAAACGTGCTCGTTTTCATGTAGAACCGCGAAGGGGAGCAGAGAGCAAGAAAGCTCCCCTTGAAGGGGGTTTGGGGGTGAACCCTTAACCCGAATGGAGGATAGTTGGGGTGGTTGGGCGGGACTACATGCTGACGCAAGCGCACGATGCGTGGGCGCGTCCCTAAATCCTAGAATAAAAGGCACACCCACCGCGCACACGGTGTATACACACCCTAAACCTTAAACCCTAAACCCGAAACCCTGCACCCGGTCCTCCTTGGGCCCTGCGGGAATGGCTGCGAGGCAGCGGATCTCGACAGAGGCGTCCCGGGCCTGGGGAGGGCTCTCGAAACCCGAAGGAAACCCTGGGTTTAGGGTTTAGGGTTTACGGTCCAGCATTGAGGATTGAGGGTTGAGGGTTGAGGTTTAGGGTTTAGGGCTTAGGGTTCGTGGATGCTTCTCAACAGCTTTTCGGGTGGAAGGATCGAAGGGTTCCAGGGGTTTCGAGGTGCTAAGGGCGAGGGTCAAGTTGGGCATCTCATTCCGGAACATCTGAGATGCCTCGTAGCGTAGTAGCACAGCTCTTGTCTTGATTTCTGCCTTCATTTCTGCCCTATTACTGCTATGAGTTCTGTTCATGATGCTTTTCTTCCTATGGTTGCGGCTCGTGCCATTGCCGGCCCATAAGCTTGGTAGCCTGTTGCAGGAAATCGCAGCTCAAAATCCCGGACCTCGAAACACAGGAGCCTACCCAAAACAACCGTTCATTCTCATGCTGAGCGCAAAGATGAAAAATACATTTGGTCCCTCAACCCAAAACACGAAAATCCCAAGCCCCCTACTTATCAAAGCACAAAACCGCCCAAACCCCGAACCCTTAGCCCTAATCTCCACAAAGCCCAAAACCAAAAACACGCTAGGACTCAGGGTTGAAAACCCCAAAAGACCCCTAAACCCTAAACCCTAAACCCTACTAACCCTGAGCCCTCGCTGCGGTCGAGCGGCCAGCTTGCCGACCTGCACTGCCACGCGGCTGGGTGGCAACGAGGGCCAGAACTCTGCGTAGGCCTGACGTGCTTACAGGGTTTTGACAGGGGTTTTGATGGGGTTGGACGAGGTTTGATGAGGTTTGATAATGCTGTTTCAGACTTTGCCACATGTCATGAAGCTTTCTAAAGGTTCTGTGGGGTTCGACGGTCCTTTTTGAGACTTTGCTGCATGATATGAACTTGTGTGGCCTTCTTGCGGGCTTTCATCGGGCCTTGAAAGGCTCAGAAGTCCGTGAGGCTGAGGGCTTAAGGCTTGGGGTGCTGGGAAGTCTGGATCCACTGCCAGGCTTCCAGAGTTCGGCATGCAGGGCTTCAAACCTCGGAGACCCTAAACCTTAAACCTTAAACTCCTTCCGGGCTAGGGATTTCCTTTTCGGGTCTGGTCTTTGCAAATTCGGGTGTTAGGTGTGGGGTTAAAGGTGTAGACTATGGGATTTGGGCTTCACATCATTAGGTTATTGGGACTTGAGTGCTGGAGGCTTTGAGGCCGTCAGTTGTAGGATGTTGGGGTTGCCGCTTGAAGCCTGGGGTGATATCCCCTTACAGTCCATCTCAGTATAGCCCCAAAATCAGACCCCATATTCCACGGTTTGGGTCCACAGCTCGGGACTCATACCTTGCATGCATGAGGAGTAAGGGTCTAGAGTCCAAAGCTAAGTATTGTCTAAGTATCCTTCAGCGTTAGGGAGTAACTTTCCGGATTTCAGGTTTAGGAGTCCACCGACAAGTGAAAGCTATAGATTCTTTCGGTGGTCTAAAGGTCGTTCGCGCTTCCCAGAGGGTGAGCCGAGCAACAATCGTGGTAGAGTGAAGCCTCCGAGAACAATCATCGTCATCATCACCACCATCATCATCACCATCACCATCATCACCATCAGCATCACAGTCATTATAATAATTATCTCCTTCTTAATCATCATCGAATCGTCAAAGATGGGATGAACCCAACGGCCTGCAACAATCTGAAGTCCACAGCAACCCGATAGAGTCCAGCAACATCATAGTCCTGAAGGCAGGTTTCCTGCAAGACCTTTAGACCCTACACCCTAAGCCCGAAACCCGAAACCCGAAACCCAAAGCCTACAGCGGTCTTTACAAATTAATTAAGGCTGTTCGGCCATGAAGGGATAAGACCCTCGGGCTTCGGTTCACTTAATTCTACGACGCCTTCAGCATTTTGGGCTGAGAAGCAGTTAGGATAGAGGATGTCGTGCGATGTTTGGACTTTGGGATTCAGGGCATAACCCAAACCCAAAAGCGTTAGACTCTGGACCCTGAATCAGAAAGCCTGCGTCCTGAATTCCTGTCAGGAACCCTTTCATCCCAGGAGTGCCTTCTATACTGAACTTAGACCCCTAGCAAAAATTATAATTTTAGCTGCTTCTTGGGGCTTATAGTAGCCAAAAATTAAAAATTATTTCTAAGTACCCCTAAGCCTTGTTCACGGCGGCAAAGTCTTTCATGTCCGTAAGGGACACTTCGCAGGCGACGACTTCCGAGAGACCTTCTCGCTCTTGAAGCGTGCGGGCTTCCCTAAACCC